CCAAATGTATTTTTCTCGGTTATGCACAAACTCAAAAGGGTTATTGCTGCTATGAACCTACTTCTGGGAGGAGATTTGTCTCGATGGATGTTACTTTCTTTGAGGAGGTACCCTATTACCCTAGGGTTTCTCCTCAGGGGGAGAGTAGTGAGAGTGGGAGTAACAGTGGGGGTCCACATCAGTGTTCTCTACAATTGTGTTCTGTTGTTTGATGATCAATTCTCAGCACTGTTTTGTTCTGTTCTCTTCCTTTCTTATTGAAGGAAGGGGGTAACTTTATTTTTCATCATTGAATTAATAATAAACTCTCTTTGATCTGGTTTCTGGTACAAATTTGCTGCTTCTCTTTTTACGGTATTCCTTTTGGTCCTTGGTTTTAGCCAGTGATCTATTTGGTCTGAACTTTGACTGTTATACAGGAGTCCACCTTTTTATATTGGAGATGAAAGAACATTTAATAATTGGAATTTGGAAGTTGTCAACCGGTTTGGTGGAATAGAGAATTATAATTGCAAAAGCTGAAGATGTTTGTTTCTGTGGTCCAGTTATTTACATTATATTTTGCATATGCATCATAACATTGACATTAGTATAATTTCTGTTTGGCCAATTTTTTTTATCGACTAATATAATTCAATTAAACCGATTTACTTTCTTTTGACTTCTCTCCAGATACAGACTCTGCTAAAGCATCTAGAAAGCAACTGAAAGAAGCTATTTACTCAGTCCTATTTGAAATGAATGTCCCTGCTGTTTGTGCCATCAATCAGGTTGCATTTTTTCCCATCAAAATTTGATTCTTTTTTCTTCAAGTGCACTCAGATTCTGGTTATATGCAATATTATGTTAAATTGTTACAGTTGTAATTCTTTATGTTTCTTCCTTAGGTCTGTATTCAATTGTGCTAGGTTCTTTATCTTAGTGCTTTTTCTATCCTCTGGAGATGATTTTCAGTTAATTATTTTGGACTCGTGTTGAATGCATCTAGATACATTAATGATGTGGCTTGTCATAAATTTGATCATATTACTAGTTTCATCCATCTTGCTTCTAATATTACAGGGTCTCTTGATTTTTATGTTTACTTCATCACTTTTTCCTTCTAATTTTGGAAGATGGGAATCTTATTGGGTTGGCATAAATTCTCTCTGATTGATTAGCACTTAACCAGGCTTACGTGAGGGGGAAAATAGAAAATCATTCCACTGTTCAATATTTTTGCTTCTAATTATTTGATTGAATTGAATATTCCAGCTACATCTGATTTCTATTTTTTCTCAATATTGCATGCCTTTAGAAGGGCAGTTTGGGCAACTTGAATCCCAGAATACGGCATAGTTAGATTCTAGATTCAATTACCAATAAAGGGGAAAAACACAAAAGTATGTATTCATAAAAAATGATGTATGTGATGGACCTGAATTAGAAAACTAAGAGCCTGGCTGAAAATTGTACAAGCATCAAGATTATATGAGCTTCACTAAGGGAATTGATGGGGAAAGCAGAGGTCAGGACAAGAAGCTTTCTGAATTTTTTATTTGTTTTGGGACAATCAAGGTAGTTTGGAAGACTATAAAGGATAGAAGTAGAAATTAAGTAGCCCTAATTGGTGACAGGATGAGGGGAAGTCAAACTGAGATGGTTCTGTCATGTGTATAGCTGACCAATGAATTCTTATTAGCTTAATGTGATGGCCATGTAGCGGGCTGTGGAACCAATGAGAATGCCCCACACCAACCATAAATGTTAAGTGAGAGGTTGAGTGGTTGTGGGCCATATGCATTTTATGACTGGCATGGGGTTATAGTTGCTTCCACAGCTTGCTAAACAGCCATTACGCTCAGCTAATCCTATCTCCTGACTGTAGGAAATGTGGACCCCACATTAAGTGTATTCGTGTGACATCCTGAGATGTATTTAGCTTTAAATTGATTAGGATCAGCTTTCCTAGTAGGATTTATTTTATTCTATCTTATCTAGGATTAGTTTTATTTTAAACTTATCTTTTATTGCCATGTAAGCATTAAAGTTCTTTTACAATTAGGAAACTATGTATATAAATTAAGGAGTGGGGCGGCTGTTTTAAATACACCAACCACTCTCTTCTTTCTAAAACCTCTCCACCAGTTCTCCCTCTTCATCTCTCTTCTTTAAATTATTTTTTGTTAAAAACCTAAGAGATATTTGTAGTCTTGTACGACTACTTGTTATCAGAGGAAGATCTAGGGCTTCTCATGTGGTTTTGATCCAGCCGACCACACGAGAATTGCCTAGGGCTGGAAAAATAGAAAGATCAGTTCTACAGCAGCAGTCCAAAGATTGGGTCGGTCCTTGATAACTAGGAAGAATCAGAGAAAGAAAAGAGGATCAAGATCAGTTCTTGATCAAGACTGGAGCGGCTATCAGAATTTCAGAGGAATTTTTGTTCGATATCAGAATTTCAGAGGAATTTTGGTTCAAGATCAGCCTTTCAAGACTGGAAGAGACGATCAGAATTTCAGTTCTTTGATAAAAAAAAGAGTATTTCAGAATTCCCTGGTGAGATTTCAATCTCTCTTAAGATTGGCAGCAAGAATAACTTGATCTAAGAGGTACGGTTAGAAAATTTTCTCCTTTCTATATTCTTTTTGGGGTTTAAGAGAAACCCTCGAGATTCAGGACTGTTATTATTTCAGGGAGGTAATTAGATTTGTCTCCCTTGATTTAAAGTTATTCTTTACTATCTGGAAGATCTAGTAGAGTTGTTTCAGCAGGACTGTTACAGCTGAATCAGTTTTTTTTACTGTTATCAGTCTCAAGACCCAGTAGGCCGACTGTCACAGTAATTAGAGAGGTTTCTTTTACTGAATCAGAATTCTCCATCTAGTTCCACTACTAGTTACAGACCCAGTAGGCCGATTGGTACAGTAATTAGGAAGTTCCCTTTAATTAACTTCTAAGAATGGAGTTTAAGAGCCAAGGAGAGGGTGCTTTTGGGACTGGTTCAGGTGGTATGACTGAAAACACCTTCCAGATTACAACTGTAAAGTTTGATGGTTCAAACTACTTAGAGTGGGCCCAATCAACCATGATGGCCATTGGGGGAAGAGGAAAGCTAAACTATTTGTTGGGAGATGTGAAGGAACCAACTAAGGAGGATCCCACTTATGCTAAGTGGATTCAAGAAAATTATTTGGTGATGACATGGCTGTGCAACTCTATGCAGCCACACATCAGCCGAAATTACTTACGGGCAAAAACAGATAAAGAAA